CCGCCCCCGGGGCCCCGGTGGCTCCGGAGCGCTGCGTCCCGCGGGTCCCCGCGCCCAGAAATGGGGGCAATCGGTAAAGGGCGCCCGCTGCTGAGGTGACAGCCGTGGCGCTGGGTCCGACAGGACGGTGTGTTTTCCCTGCGGCATTACAGAGTGAGTGCGGGAAATTCATTGCTTTTCCTATTTCTCACTGATACGGAGCGTCTTAGTGAGGGAACCAGCAAAGACATCATCGATCAAGATCCAGAATGGATCGCCCTTCTGTCGCTGCCACTAACCCTCGCGCTGCAGCAGCAGGCGACCGATGGCAGAACTGAATGTGGGCAGGAGCTGTGTGCGCGCAGCCCTGGGCACCAAGTGCGTGGCATAAAGCCCTGCGGAACCTGCTCTTGTTTCTCCTCCAAACAGTATTCATTAAATGATGCTTTTTTTTTTTTTTTTGCTAGAGCTAAATTAATTAGAAAATCATACATAGCATTGCAAAAATTAGCAAATCCTACATGCTGTGAAAGAACTTTCTTTTTCACTGATGTAAATTTCCATTAGAGCGTTTCTGTAATGTATTGTGTAAAAATGCTTTGCAATCCCCAAGTTTAACATGACTCCATTAGAATGAAAAAAGGAGAAAAAATGCTTAAATGAAAAAAAAGGGCAAAGAAAAAAATGGAAAAAAAAAAGAGAGGCCTCTTGTTGGAAGCCTGAGGTGGAGCAGAAAGACTGAATTCTCTACTAGAGTAAATATGGACAAAGCCATGATCAGCTATAGAGCTGTTCACAGCAATTACGAGTTTGTGCAGTTTACCTCTGGGCCAGGTTAGTCTTTCTGGGCTTTTATTTCAAAGAAAAGGAAAAAGATATATGACTTTGCAGTTCACATTTCCTTCAGTACGTTTCAGTCCCTCACATTCTGTATTCGTATAAGGAAAAATATTAAATATATGATAGTAATTGAAACTATAGTTTCATTTACGAGTTGATAGTAATTAAAAACATTTTAATGCGTGCAGGAGGGAAGCGCACGGGGAACGCGAGCAGAGCGCAGCACTGCCAGCAAAACTCTGGCCTAGAGCTCGTGTTTCCCTCCACGGGAGTCACACACAGGAGACACCCATCGTGCTCCGAAACGCAGGATGGCTTCAATGCTCAGTGCACTGTTCGAGTAGCAAGTTAGTGTTAAAATGAACCCAAACCCCGGCCCTGAATCACTGCAGTGACTCATTTCACATCTTGTCCTGCATATCTTCATTCAAACCCGCTGGCAGGAAACTGGGGTGATGTAGCCTGAATTAAACATTAAGTTTCATCAAAATGAAAACACAACAAATCTAAATAAGCATTCGTTGTCCTTCAGGGCCTTTTACCTCATCTTCTATCTGCTACAATTTGATAGTGAAACACAGAGTGCCATGACTTAAGTTTGAGAGCAGATAATAGAAAATATGTGTAAAACAACATGTTCAGGCACACCACAATAAACATCCTGCTCTACACAGCTCTCCAAATGCCCCCCATTGGAATCACTTCTAGAAGAGTTCTCCTTCTCCTTGCTCCAAACTGAAGCATGGCGTGGAATACAAACAAAATAGGGTATTTTCTAGGTTCAGCCAAACTACTCATAACTAAGGAACTCCTCTTCCTATCCTCCTGGCAGCTCCTCGCTGCTGGCTCAAACAAGGGATGTGATTGTCCCCCATATTTGGCACCAGTGAGGCCGCAGCTCAGATACTGAGTTGAGTTTTGGGCCCCTCACTACAAGAAAGACACGAAGATGCTGGTGTCCAAAGAACAGCAACGAAGCTGGTGAAGGGGCTGGAGCACAGACCTTATGAGGAGCGGCTGGGATTTAGTCTGGAGGGGGCTCAGCGGAGACTTTACCGCTCTCTACAACTGCATGAAAGGAGATTGTAACGAGGCAGGGGTCAATCTCTTTTCCAAAATAACTACAGATTGGACAAGAGGAAATGGCCCCAAGGTGCAAACCAGAGGAGGTTCAGGTTTGTATTAGGAAGAATTTTGGCAGAGAAAGAGTGGTGAAGCATTGGAACAGGCTGTCCAGGGAAGTGGTGGAATCATCATCCCTTGCAGTGTTAAAGAAACGTGTAAATGAGGCTCATAGGGTAGAGGCTCATGGTTTAGCAGGCGTGGTGGTGATGAGCTTACGGTGGGACTTCATGATCTCAAAGGTCTTTCCCAACCACTATCTAAACAGGAGG